CAGAAAACCTGAAAGTATTACAACTTGCCGAAGACATTTTCATTAGAAGACTGAAGTCTAATTTATGTATTCAAAAGGCTAATACAGACGTCAATCTCTAACTGACCTAAAGAGTACAGTTTGCCAAACCAAATGCACCCAAAACCTGATTCTGTCATTTTTACATATCTCCTCTTCAGTTGTTTAAAAACTTAATTTTTTCTTCTACCTGGACATTGTTCATCTTCGACTTCCAACTAGTGTGAACATTTCCGGCTCCTTACAGTTATGTAATATATGATACCACTCTACCATATCTAGTTATTTGTTGTTTTCCTCGAATTCTGAATGACTTTCAAGCATATTCACCTAATCGTCCTATAAATACTCAACCTCTTTAGGATTCTGAGATGATGATGATTGCCCACTGTGTTGCTGTGCTGAATAATTCTGAATCAATGCTGCTTCCTACTTTTTGTTTCATGAATACCTTCTTATCAACTTGATAAAAGTATGTGAATACTTCTGCAATATACCCTTTTTGGTACTGATTAGGTTGTAAGCAGCTGACAAGAATCAGAAAAATAAAGATGAAGGTGTATTATTCTGCTTCAGCTATTGTTCTTGTTCTATTCAACTTCATAGTGAAGGAAGAACTGCATGCGATCATTAATCCATTGAAAGTTAAATATCGAAGCTTTATTCTTTCAGAAACAAGCTGAGACAAATGGTATGCTACAAATATCTGATACCATTGTGAGTACGGCCAAGCAATAGTAACGCGTCACGAATTCCCATGGCAGTCGGGTAAAGATCTTGGTGATTGAAGTGAAGTAAACAATCTGATCAGCACCACGCTCTCGTAGCTCCGTTGGTAGAGCACTGAGTCAGAAATCTGGTGATCGCTGGTTCGAATCCTACCACGGCCCAGATCTTCATTTCATCTTCATTCACACCCAGTATCACTACAGAATCCATCTAATTTAGATATTAGTTCACTGGTTCATCAAATTTTATTCACATTAGTAGACGTTAATTGGTTAGAGGCAATCGGTAGGAATCTCTGGATCTAGGTTTCGTGCTTGCTGGCTCTCATCAGCAAGCATTATGTGCAACCTGTACGGAACTGATATCCCATAATAATAACAATAGTAATCGCCAGTAGGTTGTAATATTTATGGATCTGCGGATCAGAACGTACAGTAGGCTTTCTTCATTTCACTAAAAGAAATGAAGTGAACAAGTTGAGCAGGATAGGTGTTCGTTTCAAGCACTTGAAAAAACATCGATAATGCACTTCGAGTTCATTGGTGACCAATAAATAAAAAAATATGCAGTAGATCAATATATCTAGACTTGTATAGCCATCAATCTATTAAGTAAAAGTCTTAAGTGCAAAGATAATATTCACTATCAACTGGAGAAACACATTGTACGTAAGCATAGAAGACATTCTGTAATGCGTGTGTGATTAGTTGAGAACAGTGTTTTTATTCTTGCATATCAAAGTTGGAAATACTCGAACTTCATCAGTAGTTACAGCTTGTATGAGACATTCTTCGTTGAAGGTTAGATGACGAAGAGAAACAGAGGTCTTAGTCGATTTCCACTAGTTGGTAGCTAATATTTTCTTATAGAAAACAAAGGATTGCATGTTTCTGTCTGAAAGGGTTTGGAATATTCTTGGCTCGTGATGAGCATTTCCCGGTAGGTGTGATACTTCAATCTGATATTCTCTTGGGCGGTGATATCCTACACTATCATCCAATTAACATTTGAAATGATGACTACAGCTCAGGTTTATAAATAACTCTTCCAGAACATCTTTCTAATTTACCGAACAGTTAGAAATTTTGTTGCATGATTGTGAGTGAAATAAAGTTTGATAAACCGGCTATTCCTTTGACCCAGATGATAAATATATAGGTCGACAATATCATGACTATCAATTATAAACCTACCGCACCACAAGGTCCCATCCAAGGTCAGTTAGCATGCCTATGAAACGGATGCTTTCATTATTGATGCAGACATTACAAACTGCTGTGATATGAACGATCAGCAGAAATAAGAATTGGAAAATTACCCAAATCGATTGTTCACTTTCAAAGCATCCTATTTTTTCTCTTAGAGAACAAGCTAGCTTTCATCTATTCACTTTTCACATGTTTACATTAAGAATTCAGTCCAGCTGTTTAACTCCTGGTCAATTAGATTTGGTCGTGCCAAGTGATATACAGTTTCACTTACTGATGTAAACAACAGTGACTCACAGCATGAGGTGTCTATAATGCAACTCATTTCCAATGTTTGATAAACCATTCACTTGCAAGTTAAATAAACAGGATGCGAGTAAACACTGAATAAATCTGAGCTAAATCACCTTTTCCGCTGGTAACATAAATTCAGCTTTACTTTGTATAAGTTCGTTCTTCCAGCTGTAGTATTAGTATTGTGGTGAGTGCTACTGATAAGAATGTATATAAGTAGTATATGTTGAGAGGTCGGATAAACATTCTGCCCGGAGAATTGCAAAGATGACGTGACCGTATCAATAACAAGACGAGATAGAAGTAGAAGAAGAAGAACTTAAACATATTGTGCTAATTGATATTTCAATGGGAGGTTAAAATATTTCATTAGTAATGTACAAATTACAATGATAAACAGTCCCTCTAGGATTCACTTTTTGCCCTTATCCTTCAGTATGACTTTGATGTGCTGTTCACTTGAACAGCAGTCAGTTCTACTCAGTGATACCGATTTATGAAAGAATATTGTGTGAAAAATCAGACCATTACCTATCTGAATAGTGCTTCACCTAGGTGATTTATTTTCACCAAAACAACAATGAGTCCTAGAATATTTTTGGCACTTTTGAAATTACGTTTATTTTAGAATGTAGATTGGTTGGTTCACATTCTACTGCCACTCAGGTTTTATTCCAGCTACAAATGAGACTGTGACTCATTAGTCTGGGCACTCAAGTTCTACCCAGTGAGCAACGGATCCGAACGCCACTCCACCTATCAACCTCATGGCAACCCTTATAGGTGCAGCTCACAGCTTAGTGAACTAAACTGAACATGGTCATTGAGTATATTTCGAGTGTTTTGTTTGTTTGAGCAGTATTTCCATATGTGGAGACCAGTCAAACAGCGAGGACTGCATTGAACAGTCAAGTCAGCACTGAAAAAAAATATCATAAGATATTTGAAGTTAAAGAAATACTGCTTACCTTCGTGATCATAATTATGCCCACTTTATCAAATTTAGTTTAATACGTAATAGTGCTAGTAGTAGTGATAAACAAAGACATCTAGATTCAACAGTTCAGTAGAAAATACTGAGGTTTGTTTCAGCATGGGAATATCGATGGAAATGTAACGGAAATTTTGATCTGAACAGTCGTCAACCGTGGCAGTTCACAAGGGTGGGAGTTCATCATGTCTAAATGCGATCTACAGAAAATGTAGTCAAAAACTGGAGTACACTTCCGCCAACAATAAGTACACTGATTGAGAGAGGATTATTCATACACAAAAATGAATTCAAAGAATAAATACAGCCAATCAGGAAAAGGGTCGTAAACTCCAAAAAATGGAGTAATTAGCTGGCTATTAATTTATATGGGGATTGACAGAAATGTCAGTCTAGATGAAATGCAAACTTGACTTGGTCTAATACTAGGTTCAGATGAAGTAGATAAGTGTAACTTGTTCAGCAGAGGTTATCAGTTCAGGAAAACGTCTTGTTTTCATGGTGGTATTCATTGCAGACTGACATTAGTTGGAGAACCACTGAAAACTTGGGAGCACTGAACATTTGTTTCACCTCAAAGTGGTACTCCCCAGCAGTGCTCACCCGTGACCCCATCACGCATCTTCCCTCAGGACCCTTAAGTTTCACGATGAGCACGTCGCCACTGTTGAAGAGTCCCATGCAACGACGAAACAGCTGTCGAGTACTCCCAGGTTTTCAAAGTTTCTCCATATGATATCAATTCATGATGAATGTCACCCTGAAATCAAAGGGTCTCCACAAACCTCTGGGTGAAAAACGTCTTGTGATGCACAGTAAAGTCTTAGCACAACTCGTTGACGAGTTCGTAAATTGTCATCCAGCAACCGTTATTTCCATTAAGAAGACATTTCAAATGTTTAGACCAGTCAAGAATGCCTACAGCTTCTGGAAATAGTTATTAAAACACGATTTTGTTGACACCTGTTGACTGTCTGTGAATGATGTTGTCCGCAATAATTCCGTGACTCTGGTAGCGAGCAACTGAAAAGTTTATTCTTCAATGTCTCTAAACCTACTTCACTCTGTCTCATGGTAGCTGCATAGTACTGTGACCAATTTGTCAATTGCCTTATTTGATTGGAAATTATTCTCACTTAAAGTATATTGGTAAAATAGGATGCAGAGACTTCTAGATTAGCACAGACTGCACCAAACAGCCAGTGCAATACAGACAAGCTTTCACCCAATTAAAAAGATGTTAACTGTACTGATCAAATATACTATTTTAAAGAAAGTACTTTTGATAGCTAGCATCCAATATATGTGATGAATATGCCTGAATATTCCCATCAAAAGACCTCCGATGTTAGCATAGGATCAATTCAGAGAGGGGTGGGTCGCTTTCTGCACCAACTTTGGCATGAGAAGGATTCTTCGCTAATAAATTAAAACAAATGAAAAATCAGATTGGTATCATTTTTCACAGATAATAGCCTTTAACCTCCTATCAACATATCACATGGAGATAACTCTCGCAAATAGTTACCGAAATGCAGATAGGTCTGGGATGATAGCTGTAACATGTCAAAAAGTCACGAGTAGGTTGCAAAAAACTGATTTCCAGTGCCTGTATTATTGGTTATCAGACTGCAGTCATCAATGCAAAACCAAAACCCAATTGAAGATATCATTGGATAAAGTGGATTATTTTCTCATTGGCCATCTATTCTTCGTACATGTCGCAATTTTTAACAATGCTATTCAGTCGGATTACTACATTCCGATTGGTTAACAGCTTATGTTTTAATTACAAACTTGATCGGGCAACACCAGACCTTAAGCAACGTTAAATCATTTCAAGGACTATATAACATTCACCTGAATGAAATCAGCCATTACAGTCGGGTGGTTAAAGCCAATCTGTTCGTTATATTTAGGATTTATTTTGTAACCTACACATAAACACGTGTTGATGAGCAATATAGACGCTTCTGGTGAGCAAGACAACAACAAAGCAAGAAATCATGCTACCAAGTTGATAACACCTGAATATAATTCAGGAGTGGTAAGTTGGCTGAATTACTTTTTGTTTTTACAAACTTATAACTATCAATCTTTATCGTGTTCACTAAGGCATAATTACTGGCTATATATATTGGTACGTACTTCTCGGCTTTTAATGCCTTAGTCAATTTCGATAATAGTTATCATGATTAAAAGGCTCATGATCTCTTTGAATAAGTAGTCAGATGGCAAGCTACCTGACGTATGCACTGTTACCAATATTTTGCCAAAAAGGGGCTTTTAGGAAGGCCTGAATCGTGTCAGTGCGGAGAAAAAATGACCGTGCATACGCATAAAGAAGCTATTGATACATATGAATTCACTGTGCTGTTTATTCAAAGAAGAGTGTTTTTCGTGATGGTACACTGTCACTTAAAACTAAATCTGTTTCAAGGCACTTTTTTAAAGTCTACTGCCATGTGAACAGGTTTCAAGGAAATATTTTGAAGATTTTCGTGTTTAATCATGCTTTACATTATCTTTCGTTTTTACGCCCTGAAAAAGCGCTTCTTGTGACGTCATCCGTTATTCAGGGTCATCTGTTGCGTCCGTTGCTTACTGTCTCCGTATCCCTTAGCTTCACCAATACTTCTTGAAGAGTTCAACATTGCAAAGAGTAGTCGGTAAATAACGTCTAGGATCTTAATGAGATGCACGGAAATATATCCCTGACATCTCAGGTGTACTCACAAGCTTAGATTTCTCTACGATTTAAAAGAAATCAATTTCAGACCGATGGTCGAATCCACTTCATCCATGGAGTTTAGTTTAACGTCATAACCTAAGTTATCCTTCTATAATTCATTGTGAAAAGTACTCATCATAGTTGACTCCTCTAGACATGATTAATGCATATTAGTTATTCAAAGTGAAACTTGTATTTGATTTCCAGCAGTGAAAGACTGGATGCAAACTTTTCTAAATTATTTTCTTTTAGTGGACTTATTACTTTACGGATCTTCAGTAACACTGAGACATATATGCGTGCAGAATGATACACGTTCGCATTTTATAAGTATGAACTAGGCTGAATCATGCTAGCTGACTATCTGATACCTAATAGCACTGAACTTTTTTGATGGTACCAACGTGCAATAATTACTGTACCAAGATCGCAGCTGCGTACATCTCATTGTTTTTTACGCGGAATATCTTCCATTGGTCGTGTGCACCCAAACGTTTTTTTCCCTTTCTGTAATAGGTTTTTCTATGACTTCATATCCACTGTGTTTTGTATTGACTGCCTTTAAAGGCCACCCTGGCAACTGCTAAGTTAACCAATCAAATGTCAGAATTTCGTATGGAAAGGTAATTTTTATTTATAGAATTGAGGAATGTGAATGGTTATTTCAGCAGTTGCCAGGGCGGCCTTTAAAGTTACCTTTTGCGTTCGATTCGAAAATTGATGAGTTACGTAGTCATTAGTCATACTACATCTTAGTTTTTGAAATGTTTGTGTATTTGCGCTTTTTAATTTTCTTTTTGACATTGTAGTACGCACTCAGCTTCAAAGGTGAGACAAATGACGAAGTAGATGTGAGATTTGAAGCCAATAAACAGGATCGTGGTGGTTGGAATGGGAAACTGGATTTTGTAATGACATGTATTGGTTACGCTGTAGGCCTTGGGAATGTCTGGCGTTTCCCATATTTATGTCACAAGAATGGAGGAGGTCAGTTATTTTTCACTCTTCACAAATTAGGGTTCTTGTTAATCCATAATGATCACTTGAAGCATACGCTTCACCTTACTCTGGCTTTTACGATTAGTTAGGCTAAGTAAAACGGGTGAATATTCGTGATATTTGGATTTTTAAGGATTCCACGGGACATAATTTACATGCTAGCGAACCAAATACTACACGATTGTCATCAACTACAAAATAAATCAACGTTCAGCGTATTTATTTATGCCTAACTTGTGACCATTAAAAGTAGACAGCGTGTTGCTGGAAAACAGCTTCGTTCTGTTGGCGAAGCGAGTTCGGATAGAATGAAGACGATTAGCCCAAAATGTTTGTTGTGACTGTATATATAATTGACTTCAGAGCTACTTGTGGTATTCCTAGATGTATTATCCGACAGTGTATCATATGAAGAAACTGTTGGGTGTCAAAAAAAGTGAGGTGATCTTTCTTGTAATTGTGACTCAGACCAGACCATCAGGATATGAATAATCTATTCAAGAACTGGTTTCTACATGCTATCCACTTTTAGAAGCCTTTGACTCTAGACGATTTCATTGATATAATAGATTACCGAAATTAATCATTAGCTTGACCATTGCTATCCTTTAAAAGCATTGATTATCATACTTGAATTGAATGACTTTAAATACCACCCTAGCAACTGCTGAGATGGCCAATCATGCTTCAATATTTCGAACTTTTCCATAGAATAAGGGAATCTAATTGGCTGTGTCATCAGCTGCTAGGGTGGCCTTCAAAGTCCCCCATCGAATTTTTTTAAAAGCCGCTAAATTTATTGATTGCTACTGGTCCAAACAACTAAAGATTTCCGTAACAATAACAAAAAGCAACAGTTTAAACGAAGAATATTCTTTTCAGTAAATTCCCATCAAGTTCTTAAGTTATAAAATGCACTTGTACAGCGTGAAATCAAGCCAAGTTGTAAAGATCTCACATTGGTTTTTTTTGAAGGGACTTCCAATAAATACTCGGATAATGATTCTTCTGAGTGCAGTGTTTGATGACTCAACATATATTCTAGATTCAACCAGCCTTACCTTGAACTGTAGCAACTCGCGAGTATCTTCAGCGTAATCGGATGATCAGAATTGTAAGATTTCAAACAACCAATGATTCCCATGACACTATTAAACAACATCAATCTGAAAATTCACTGGAAGTCTCTTGGAAGAAACAGAGTACTAACCATTGTGAAATCTTCAACATGGCTTGATTTCACCCTTTACAAACGCAGTTTAGAATTTTAGAATCTGAAGAGAAATTATTGAGAAGAATATTCCTTCTTTAGATTGTTGTTTTTTATTAGTGTTATAAAGGTCTTTAGTTGTTTGAGATCTTACTACTCTTCTGAGGGTCCCATTGTGTTGAAGGTACTCAAAGAGTTTCTGAAGTTTAACGTAAGGGTGGTTGAATCTAGACTACTGGTTCAGTTGAAGTTGTTATAGAAGGCAGAAGAGAATTTTCAAATGAACTTATTCTAGGCTTTTTGTTTATTTCATAAAATCCAACGGTTAGAGTCAGTTGAATTAGTGAACTACCGACTGAGAATATTGATAGTCAGCCTTGTTCAATACACATGACTGGTTGATATTTTCTGTTTGGGGTAATGTGATGTTGACGGCAACACTCAAGTGGTTTACTGAGTTATATGTCGATACACTGATAGCCTCATCAGTGTTGATGACTGCAGTTGTCCTCAAGTAATTTTTGAATATTCAAACTAAGAAAACTTTATTTATTTACGGCATCTCACTGTTTAACCCATGTCTTTTGATACCAACATTAGGTGCATTCCTCATTCCTTATTGTCTGATGTTGGTATTACTTGGACTTCCATTGTTCTTCCTCGAGTTTGCATTTGGTCAGTTTGCAAGTTTGGGTCCTATATCTGTTTGGAATATAAGTCCGTTATTTAAAGGTAAGCATCAAAGCGGTTATATGGGACCGATGAAATGTGTATTTCAGTTTATTTGTTAATAAATGATCCTATGGAATTTGATGCTGAATCACGCTGTGAATTGGAGCAGTTGATGATGGATAGTAGACTACATGAGACATATTCTTAAATCCAGTTCACACTAACCTGTTTCCTCTTTGGTTTACACTAGAGAGTTTCTTCTCTTTCTCATAGATGATATTGCCAATTATCTACACTAGTAGGACTGAAAACCGCTTAGTTCTTCAGTTTTAATGATTGACAGAAATTACCTATCTATTATCTTTAAATTAGTCGTGTAAAAACTTATTGTGACCTGGTAACTTTCAACTCTCCCGAACGCTTCTCTTTTTCAGTCAAAATGCAAGGACTATTATCAGCTCTTCATTCAGACTTCGGTTGATTAGCATAAATTGTACTTTTCAACTTACGGTGTTTAGCTCATTTTAGTGACTTTGACATTAGAGGACGTTTCTGAAAACGGATATCCGAATAGGTTCATCAAAGCTAATATCGACTACATTGGTCACAA